AATAAAAAATGCAGGCAATTTAGAAGAATTACCCAAGAATCGATAAAAACTATGCGGTACTCGAAGAGCGAGGTGTATTGTGAGCGCCACCTATGCGGAAATCTAGAATTATAATTGATCACCTTCACATAAGGAAATTTTTTAGCCAACGTCGATAAGTTATCGACTGTTGCAATGTTAATTTATTCTGCTGGTCAAGAATATGGTAATAGTTACCCACCAACTTCCAACGGTCGATAAAATTTGTATTATCGACTTACGAGAATAGTGTTATTTTGCTTGATCTATGAAATTTGTCTTTTCTGTTTATTTTCAAGTTAATAATAGTCCAAATACTGAGAAATAATTTATCATTCTTTGGTAAGTAATTGAATAATGTATTTAGTTACAAAGCGTAGTATAAGCATCTCGTTAAAAGGAGGTATTTAAAAAGCTCCGTTTAAATGCCAGTAAGACTGCAATTTTAAGTACACGCGTCAACGTCAAATGTGACAAATGGTATATTTTAAAAATATTGGTCTAAAATATCAAGACCGATGATCGACGAGTATTTCTTGCAACCGCGAACACGGGGAAGAAATGCGAGGATAGCAATTGACACAGATCTCAGATACGTTGATAAATCAGGGCTTTGGGCAATAAAAGTAGCTAGTACAGAGCTCACGTGCTTTATGCAACGGAAGCGCGTCGGGTCATAAAGTGCCAGCTCGATCCGACTGGCTTCGAGCTGGCCGATGCGGCGCACAAGACAGAGGCCAGAGGGAGAGCTAGAGAGAGAGGATCGTTTATACGCGCGCATATAATAATACAATCTACGTATTATCGAGAAACGGTAGCCGTGGCTCTCTGACTCGTTACAATGTAAACTAAAAAACAATCGTTACACGAGTCGCTGGTTGCGCGCGAGGGGCCGTGCGCCTGTCAGTAATCGTGTTTGACAGGTTCGCATCAAGCGAGCCCATATAGTCATCTGTTTCCCGCTGATCGGTCCGTTTATTTTTCCAATATGGACGCACGCGGGGCGATGAGGCCTGCCTCGTGCTTATACGAGCTACTCGGTAATTTCTTCCTCTATTTATAGATAAAACGACGATATACATAGCGCTCGGGTCTCGAGACGTGTAGCGCTGGCTGCTGAAAGGCGGCGGCGACGGCGGCATCTCACCACGCACCTACTATACCTCTACTGCCTACTCCGCGCTAAATAGCCTTATTTGCCTCCGGCCAATTTGCGCGCGAGCTTTTTGCCATGCGATCGGGAACGATCGTGTATCGACCGACCCCCGATGTTATTCTTTCGGCTCGAATTTTCGCCACCTCTTATTTTAGACTCGTTAACGAATTTTCACTGAAATTCTCGCATCCATGTTATTCGCGAAGCCGTCGAAAAATTTGACGGAAATTGTCGAATGATAATTCTCAAAGAAATGAATTAGCTGCCTCCTTCGACTGCAATTTCGCTAAGTATCTGCGGCGAATGTGAAGGAAAAAAAGAATTCTCCTCGATATAGCGTAAAAAGCGTATTATATAGAGCTTACGTACGACCCTACATCGAGGATAAAACGTCGCTGATTGGCCGCTTGCAGTTCCAGACCGTCTTTAGTCAATTTTCTTCGCTTCGTTGAGAAATTTCTCCTTTGAACCACCGGAAAAGAGGTAATACACTTTTCTCGTAAACTTATATACCTCGCACGTGTACTGGCACTTGCGACTCTTTTATCGACCTTTTACCGATACGCCCAGTCAAAAAATATATCAAAAAAGAAAAATTTAAATTACACGTTTCAAGTAAATTTTAACACGAAAAGATGTTTCAAATTTTGATTTTTCGTAGTTTTTTACTTCTTATGCACTTTCATTGAATATTTTAAAAAAGAAACTTTTTTTGTGTTTTCTTATAATTCATTTGTATTAAATTTATTTACTAGCCGTAACTCTCAAAGTCACTTGAATTAATACAGTGACTAGGTTTCGCACATATTGGGATAATTTCTTTTTTTGTTATCGTTGTGACCTCCGAACCAATAGGGTGTTAATAAAATACTATAGCTACAATGAGGAAATAAAATTGAGCGAAAAACTTTTGGATGATAGAAAAATTTGGCAGAGTTAACTAAAAATCGCGTCGTTACGAAATTAAATATTGATTATTATAGAAAGAGTGTTGAAAAAGTGAAAACAATCGAATGATAAAAATGTAATAAAAAAGTTTATATTTTGAAAAATATATTGCGCATTCAAAGTGGCACTCAATCAAAAATTCTCAAGCAGCCACATTATCAAGATTCCATCTGCAATTCCCAGCGCGTTAAGTAGACACTCATAGTACAGGCGAAAATTAGCATAAGTATTAGCAAATCGAGGCGTCTTCTTGTAGGTAAAATTACTGGTTCGAAGTTTGAGATTTTCTCCTTGGCTCTTTCTTCACGGCCTCGGCTCGGCTCGTTCTGATTCTGTATAACCCTCTTCTAGTCCTTTTTTCCACGGAGCATAAAGCGGCTCTATGTGACACGCACTTCGATTTGAGCTGTTGCCAAGGAAACTGGCTGATTGCGGCAAGGCAGTATGTATGCTCGATGCGATTTATAAGGAGGACTTTCGTGGCAGATAGCTACAGAAAGATAAAACTAAATATTGAATTTCCTCGAGCAGTTTCAACCGAATCAAAACTTTTATAGCAAACCCTAATTTAACCGTTTCAGGATGTCACTAGTTTTAACGCGCTTCAGTGCGACGCTGTAAAAACTTTCTGACTAGAAACGAGTCAATTGCTTCAACAGACAAATTCATTTCATTCTGGCGCTAAGAAGAAAGGAACAATTTGACGCTCAATCAGGTGACAGAAGCTAATTTTCATTAACTGTTAATGGTGTCGAGCTCCCCATCTCTCTCCTTCTCTCTCTATCTCTCTCACTATCCGGTACTCTTCTTCCTTTTCTCTTTTACCCACTTTTGTTCGACAGCGCATTACGATTATCTCATTTGCTCCTCATCACCAAAAGTGAAACTTTAATTATTTCAAAAAAAGAAAATCCTAGCTTTAAACATAACAATAAAATGTAAAAATAATTATTATTTAAAGATAAATCAGTAATCATAGGGAAAACAATTTCGATGGGCAAGCTCAAAAAGTCAGATCGAATAAAACTGCCAAGAGAAAGAATAGGAGAGCTCGACAATCGACGCGAATCAAGAATACATGGATTTACATTTGAAAGTATAATCGATTCTTCGGCGTGCACGGCTCGTTTCACTGTCAGCCACCTTTTTTCAGTCACCTTTTTTTCATCCGTAGGACGAAAAAAATCTAATAACACTCGTTGCGCACGAAAAATGTAAATCGCTCATTTCAATTTTAGTCATTTCTTTTCTTTCGGACAAAAAAAGGAAGACGTAAAAAATGGCTGGAACAATCTGTTGAAATGGCTGCGGCCGGCTAAAACGATGAAATTGCAAAAAGCCACAAATCGCTGCACGGAGGACGATTGGAGAGTAGCGATCGGGCCGGATGATCTGCGAATTGTTTAGGATATATTCGCTATATGCGGCAGCTTATACTGGCCTCGAGCGAACTGCACTGCAGCTACAGCTAAGCGAGAAACGGAGTGAGCATTTATACGACTTTAGGCCTGTTTATAAATTATTGTAAACAAAACGACGTAATGGACTGCAGAAGCGGTCATAAAATTTTTATCCGCCTCAAGCTGCATGTACGCATTGAGAGAGAGGGAGGGAGAGAAAAGCAAAAAAGCTCGGACGCGTCGGCCTGGAATTTGTTTTTTCACTTGGAAAGGTCAAAGCTGAGGCACAAGTCAACCGCGAGAGTTCATTTCACAGGCTTATTAATTTACTATGAAATCAGAAAAACGTGTTAAAAGACGCGCTCGTGTCATTCAGAGAAAAACACGTGGAAAGTGGTGAGAATTTTTTCTCCGTTTCGACGTTGTTATCTTAACAGCAAGGTCGATAACAAAAGTACCATATAATTACAAAGATCTGTCAAGATCTGCTCGATAGGAGCGAGCTCGTGCGTGCGCGCGGCGAGAGACATCGTCGGGCCTTGAATAAACAGATCGTCTTGCATGTGTGGGCATATGTGTGCGTACGTACGTGGGTGCGCGTGTGCGAGGATAGGGCCACCCGCGTGTTATTGCTAGCACATCTCGCGTAAGAGAGACACACTTATGATACGAGTGAAAAAAGGCGGCGGCTCAGCGGCCGATACACCGAGCTCGCCGCGTAAGGCACAAGTGTCACCCTTTTTTCCAAGATCTCCATCATCTGGTCGTTACTACTGTTCCTGCTGCTGCTACTTCTGCCTAGGCCGCTGAGCCGCCGATGTTACTGAAGATTCGTGCAACTCTTTTTCCACTCCTACGCAGTTAGCTCTCGGAGGATTGTGAATAAATAAGAAGCTCTTTTTATACGTACATTTATGTCTATTTTATTATCGTTTCATTTTTTTTTCTCACATGGCTACAAATACATACATACATAAGTTTGCGGGTCTTGGACATACAAGATAACTTTACATTTATTTACATGCTACAATATTCAGAGTCGTCGGAGTTTGCTTTTACGACGCGATGCCTTCCGACGCGCACTTGTTTTCATACCGAGTACCGCGCTGCCGCTCTATACATTATCTAAATCGTAAAATATTTGCCTACAGTGAATAGTAATAGTGCTTATTTCGCAGCCGGATATTTCGCGTGCAATAATACTAGTAGTTGCGCAGCCGTTTGCTATACCACCTACTGTCCTACACATGCGATCGATTAGACGACTTTATCGTCCCCGCTCGAGTTTCGAATCTGCACGTCGCGTAGTACATTTCTTGCCGAATTTCGATCGCAGCAGGTACGAACTGGTGGCTTTTTTTTATTATCCAAAACGAATCGTCGCGTACATATTAGCTGCCTACATATTATAATATATCATATAATTTCTCGGAAAAGAAACGGAAGATTTGTTCGTTTTTTCCAGTCGGACATTGACGCAATGCGTAATGAGAAGTTAGTCTAGAGCGCCTCGGTGGCTCTGGATGTTTCAAATTTTGTCCGGTTCGATCTTTGGTGCCGAGTCGTCGAGTGTGGGTATTGGCAGACCAGTCGGCGCAGCGCCGCTCGAACAGAGCAGTGGGTGATACGGCAGGCAGTAGTACGGAAAGCCGAGGGCTTTACCCGCAGGCCCCAGATGATGATGCTGCTGCTGCTGATGCGACTGTTGCTGGTGTTGATGTTGGCCACTCGCCGCCCGAGCTTGCGCCAACTGCTCGTCCGGATGAACGAGGACTCGCACGGCGACGCGTCTGGGGGAGCCGCTCGAGTTTACCAGCGCCCCGAGCTCCTGCTGCTGGCGTCGCTTCGTCTTGTATCTGTGAAAAGCCAATGAAAAACGTGCGACTTTGAAATTAAAGAAGCAGAAGAAGCGTAATCGAGGAAATAGCTTGGAAATGGCTGCGATTGATGTTCGCCGTTTGCGCCTCGGGCTTACCGTCTATTTTGAAACCAAATCTTGACTTGTGTCTCGGTGAGTTTGAGGCCTCTTGCCAAATCCGCCCTCTCCGGGCCGGAGAGGTATTTTTGCGCCGCGAATCGCCTCTCGAGCTCGTAAACCTGCGCGTGCGAGAAAGCCGCTCTGCTGCGCTTTTTTCTGCCGGACCCGGACTGCTGACCCGGGTGGCACTGCGTCTCGTACATCTCCTCGTCCATTTCACCTGCAAAATCATCGTCGCGTTATCATTTCCGATCGGCAGCTTATGGCTCTTTAATCTTTGTATGCCGCCAGCGCTAAAACGTATCGCACACGTGCCGTGCGCGTAGCTCTCCAATTTGTTTACCCTTCGACTACTCGGTAATTTCTGCCCCTTCTCCGCGTAAGCGAAGCCTACGCATGATCCAACCAATGCTCGTGCGAGTCTGTGTCTGTGCGCGCGAGTGTGCAGCGGAAAGAGAAGAGTCCGGCTCGAGAGAAAGAGAGAGAGAAAGAGAGAAAAAGTGAATGACTGTGCGTCTGTAATGCACATGGCTCAGTGAAATAAAGGCGTTATTTCGTCGAGAATAAACTGAATTATAACGAGGCGCTGAACAAGCTTCAAGTTTGTAGTCTAATTTCGAATCCACAGCCGAATGCATCTCTTTAGTCATGCTCGGCCGTTGTTATACCCGCGCGACTCTACACTCTCTCGGTGCAGTAGACGATAAAGGCAGCCCCAAAAAACCGAGCTCTCGTCTTGTTTGCGAGCTTTGAGATTTTGTGAGTGCAAACAATTCGGTTTTCCAGACTACTTGCGCTCCGCAAACACGCTTGCTTGTTCGTCGCAGATTTTTTTTTTTCAATAAAATTCCAAACGATATGTGTTGACGCGACTCTGCGCTACCCTCGCTTAATGGCTTTCAAAGCTCACCGAGCTTGTGTCAAAGCAACGCAAACATCTCGAATTACCCAGCCGCTCCGTTTACCCCATGAATCCAAGAAATTACTTTTTTCCGATGAGCACTTGAGCCACGATGTATACGCTGAAAAGTTATTGCAAATCATAGATGATGAAGCAAAAAAAAAATGTAAAGGTGTACAGGTTTGTAGTCAGGATGGAAGTAATACTGGTAATTTTCGAAGTGCACGCCAGGCGTTTTGAATGGCTGCCAACTCGTTGATTCGGGTGCATTAGTTGATTGAGGTTTTGCTTGCGGGCGATACCGAGCTACGATACCTGCCCGAAGTCGAATGGGGAAAGCTTGAGGTCACGCACTCATCTCAAAAGCACACAAATTTATGGTACAAAGACAAAATCGTCGAATTTATATTTTTATAAGAGTATAAAAACCAAATGACGAATCAACGTACACGTGGTAGAAGTTTACAAAAAGCAAATACGCGTCTTTGGTAATCAAAGTTTATCAATTTTCCGAGACAAAACCGAGGATTCGCTCAGTGCTTTGTATGATTGATTTTTGTCGAGGCCAACGTCTCCACTTTGTACGAAGAGACAACAGTAGGAATATTCGTGTCGATGCGCGCGCGAGTTGTGTACCCTCGGCGATACCCGATACGAGATTGATTTCAGTGTCGTTTGGGTTACAGTTTCACGTGTCGATGGGGTATTTATAAGCTTTTAAGAATTAACAGGCTGAACGAGGCTCGGCGGAGCATGACCTGCAAATACAGATGATCGTTTCTCTTCGAGTGTATTATATGTCACCGTAGCTATGAATTTCATCGGGCTAAAAGTATTACATTTACGAGCTAATGATTAAAAGGCAAGCGAAAAGCTGGAAAGACGCGGAGGATGAGGAGCTAGTTCGCGTGGTATGTAACGGGGTAAGCCGCAGGCTCAGTAGCAGCGATCGCCCGCACGCACGCAGCTATACACGATGCCAAATGCACTTGTGTGTGTGGCACACAGCTTATGAGCAGCACTTGTGACGTCTGCTAACGTCAAGTGGCACTTATGCGTACAACTAAAATAACGCTCGGCAGCTCTCGGCTTTTAATAATGCCCGCGTTCTCCTTTCGCTCAATTGATATTCGCTTATTTTAATTACCGGCCATTACTTTTGCATCGTTTATTTTTACGCCGACGCGTTACAGACTATGCTTTTTTTCATTCGAGTATATATCTCACCAAGGTATTTACTTTTGCTCATGTCCAGCGCCTCGTCCTGGTGATAGCGTTGCTGCTGCTGCTGTTGATGCATCTTCAGCTCCTTGGCTGTTCTGTGATGATGATGATGCTGATGATGGTAACTCGCGGCGAAATCGTCCAAGGGCTTGTAAGCGACCTGATGATCGATCTGTGGCAAGCCCGACAAACTCGCGAGGTTCGCTTGCACGAGTTTGCTGTGCAGCAGGTCGATCTCTTTGACCATGCTCATGTCGCTGGACGCGGGCAGACGCAAGAATTGGCTGAGACGCGCCTCGTGCTCGGCTCGGTAGCTCTCCAACAGGACTTGCTTGCTCTTCTGGAGAAATCTGTCGAACTTGTGCTTCTCCGCGTCGATTATCGCCTCCTGAGTCACTTCCGGCGAGGAGCTGCGGCGATTCAGTATATCGGCTATGCTGAACGGCGTCGGCTGGCTCGACTTTGGCGAGACCGAGGCTGCGTTTCTTCGCGTGCTTTCCTCCATTTTTCCGTAAATCATTTATCTTAATTTGTCCGACGACTTTTCTAACGTCGGTTTCGTAGGCCAAAACTTTGCGACGATAACGAAAAACACAATAAACAGTCGGGCTGCTGCTACTCGTTGCACTCACTAAAACTCGATCACTACTACTCGACGTACAAGAAGCTAAGTGTCAGTGGAACAGTCGCTCGGCGGACAAGGGAGCCGAGTTGTTACACATCACACCCTTTCGTCCTAGAGTGTGCTTGATTCAAGTGTACTCTCTCTCTCTTCTCTGGCTGCTCTCGTTTTTCGAATTGGTCTCTCCGACTGTTGGGTACTTTTCCCCTCTCTTACGCGGGTGTATATAGGCGCTTACCGCAGCGCGAGTTGCCATCTAGCTGGCAAAAGCTCTCTCGCTCTCTCTAGCTGCCTATCTCGCCGTCGGATCTCGCTGAGAAGGGAGGAGCGAGCGGCTCTGGCCTCGCCCATGCTGGCCAATGACTGGGCTCTCGCTCGAGCGGCGGCGAGCTTTTGCGCACGCGTCCCGAACTTACCATCTCGCTGAGAGCTTGCGAGTCTACTCGCAAGTACGAAGCTATATGCTTGCTTGAAGATTTGTACTTTGCTTCGAGACGACACGGCGATTGTCGCGATGACGACTTAGCTGGACTAAAAGCCATTGCAAAAATAAACCTACTCGTTTGCTCTTTCACAAATGAGTATCTTTTTTGAGACATTGTTTATTCTTTGACGGGATTTTTTTGCTTTTGCTTATTGCTTGAATATTTAAATGACATCATTGTTTTAATATATCTCAATAGATGACAAAATCGTGCTTATTTTAATTATTTCTCACGTTCAGAAGCGCACTGATTTTCTTACAGCAGATCCAAAAACAGTTGGAATTTAAGTCTCGAGAGAAATTGGTGAATAAAAAAAATTGTAAACGAGTTGAGCTGTAGATAATGCAATCAAAAGACTAAATGTTACAAATCGACTCTAGTAGCATAGTTAGTATAACTTTTTTAATTCAGTCAATCTCGCAATCTGACCTCTATATGCCGAGGACTTTTTTACATATGCCGCGCTATATATGATTATACGCATAGGTGTAGCATACACATTATGATTGCGTGGAAAAGTCAGAGCATATTTTAATTTTGCACAGAATTAATAAGGAAGTAATAATAGCAGCGATAATTCGGTTCGCGTCAAGTCGTGTATTGTACATTCAAGTTCGCCTCGAGAAAGATAGAGAGAGAGAGAGAGAGAGAGAGAGAGAGAGAGAGAGAGAGAGAGAGAGAGAGAGAGAGAGAACAGAGCTTTGTGTCAGTGGTGAGTATATTTGAGTGAGTGCACATCCGTATACATATATATATGTGTGTATGATTCTGTACTGCGTAGGCAGGCTGGAGCGTATATAGAGTGTGCTTTACATAACAATCGGCGCCTAAAGACTGGCGGCATTGTTCGCCACGTGCGCGCACGAGCTCCTGAGTTTCTCGCATATCTGCTCGTTCCTCGCGCGGCGCGTCCTGCTCGCCGCGCCGTGTGTGTCCTGTGTAGGTTTAATTAGGTGTGAACCACAGAAGCGTTAAACACGCCTCACTTGACCTGATGATGGCCCAGTGTGTAGCGCAGCTACTGTACTGTGCCGCGCGCCACTCCTCCCCCCGCGTATAAACGCACTCACTTCTATCGTACGTACATAAATGTATTCATGTATATTGAGATCCGTGTATGTATCGATGCGAACATTCGCACGCGATTCCGCGATGACTCGGAATCTCTACTATGTAGCCGTTTGCAGGCGCTCATGCGATTAAAATGTGCCCACCGGCTCTTTCTGCTCGCCCATATACTTAGCTTTTTTGCGTGCGCGCGACTGTATTAAATTCAGTGCACTCGCTGCGATAATTATCATCCGAAATTTCGCTCCTGCCGATGCGTTGTTGCCACCGAATGAGCCAACGCGTACAATGACTGAATAATTACGTTTTGAGCACATTCGATACATTCGCCGCCTTGCCATGAGAAACTCTTACTTCGACATGACACTCTGCTTACTTCCAGTGAATCACCCTCTCAACAAACTTTTACTTGTTTTTCAACCTTCTAATTTATTTGAAAAATTCATCTTTTTTCATTCATTTTTAGCGACAATTTTTTCGTCCAATTTTTCAACAAAATTAAACGTATTTTAAGCTTAAATTCGAATAACATTTTTATTACTTTTTTGGTTTAAGATATTTTATTTTTTCTCTACTAGTAGTATTAAATTATTGAATCATAATGTAATTAAATTAAATGCTTATTGAGTGAATATTAAATGAGTTTCTTAACTTTAAATCTTCCACCTCATTAAACGTTCTAAAAAGTTTTAAAGGTCAAAGTAAATTAAGTATTATAAATGATGAGCAGAATCGATGTTGGTCGGCAATATTAATAGCCACTAGCAGGGCGGAGTACACATTTTTAAGCCGAAGAAAAGCGAGCCGAGTAAGAGCGGAAGAAAAGTGAAACGAGACTTTTTTCTTCACGAATCAATCTAATCAATAATAAATTATAGGGGAGAGCAGCTCGCTACATCGCACTCCCCTAAAAGTCTTATATACGACATCTCTGACCCTCCCGCTCAATTGGTTGCAATTCTTAAAGACCTTAATTGGCGCGGAAAATTATACCTTATTTTCCAACTACCCTTCGCCAAGATCTGCCACTGCTGCTTCGACTTTTATCTTTCTTGCTAAACTTCTTTCTGCGCTCTCTAGAAACTCGGCTCTTTTTCCTAACCATCGATCGATCGAAAAATAAATATGAAATTTAGTTCAAGAACGATGAGCTAATTCGACTTTTAGTATTTAAATTTCTTCTGAAATCGACAATCGTGTACCTGCTTACGAAGCATACAGAAGAGAACTAAGAGATGCGTTTAGTCAAGCAATACAGCAGCAAATGAACGAATGTATCTGCGGAAGAACATAAAAACAAGAAGACCGGATGAATGCGAAATGTTTATTAGCTTTAGGTTTTAAAGTCCACACGTCTGTCAGTTAGAAGATGTAATATTAGTGCTTAGTATATGTACGTACGCACTGTATTCATTCACTAAATCAGTTCCATTCAGACCTGCTTTTAATTTTTATTTTCTTGTTTAAGCTGTTGCTTTTCGTGCACACTGTGTACATCTACATTTTTTTTCTTTTAATGATTTATTTATTCTCTGAGTAACCCTATTCTCGTTAATTACATGTCTGTGTCATTTGTTACAAATTCGAATTTTTGATTTTAACAATGTGCATTGTACATATATAAATTGTTTTTAGCCTGAACTAAAAATTTGAAATAAATGAAAAATTTCCTCAAACTGTGTGTCTATTCAAGTTTCTTACTAGAAATTTAACAGAATGATTTTTATTCATTGCATAGTTTTCAATCGTAGTTTGGAATTTAAAGTTTCATAAACTTTGTCGAAAAATCGTTGTAGGTCTTTTTTATCAATTGATAAGCTATATGTAGAAGTTACATGAAGCAAGGTAGATATTTTTTTTACCGTTTGAAACACATTATCATTCACACTCCATCTAATATCTTACGAGATCAATTCAAATAAACGCGTAGGATTCTGCATTACCAACAATAGAGGGATTTCTTCAATTTTTATCGACATTGTCACACATCTTTTTCACTTCTAATTTATTACAATAAAATTTATAACTATGAAGAATGAGACCCATTTAAAACTTGTTTTAATCAAGAATATTTTTAAAAACTATAAGATTATAGAAAATTCTATATTAAAAATACTTTAGACTGATGATCGAAGCATACAGTTATTTTTTAATAGCTTTTCTAAATGATTTATTATGCAAGAGTTTACTTAGCAAATACATTTAGAATCCTTTAGTATAATGACGGTGAAATCCCTTCTATAAAATACCACATTAGCTTTTTTCATTATACTTCTTGGTAATAAAAGCTTTCAGTCATACGTATCGCATGGCTTGATTGATGATACTTTAGTTTATAAAAAAAAAATCATAAGGGAACGAGATCGAATACAAGTACCGAACAGATTTAGATGAAGAACAAGACAATATTAAGCATGCATGCGAATAAAATTTCATTTTTGGTAAACATAATTTTTGAACCATCAATATTTAAATCAAGAGTTATTGTTGTGTTTGATAATTAAACTAAAAATTGTAAGCAGCGTATAATTACGTTTGAGAAGAGTTGATTTTATAATAAAATACTTGTTTGAATTATTGCCATGTACCTTGACAATTTAAATAGAAATTTTTGTAGTGTTTTATATAGTACCGACAACGTTCCATCAGGCCAATCAAATAAGATGCAAGAAGCACATTTATATAAATACTAACAGACACGCGTGCGAACATTTAATGTTGGTGTAGGCACACTTGAGTGCCAGATGACCCGTCGCTGCAAGATAACTTAAAAGCATCAGTGGCTTTGCTCAACTTGTCAGAATTAACTTATTTATAAGCTCAATACCGACAACGTTGTCTTGAAATTATTTATACACACTAGCAGTGCAACGCACATCATGCATTTATTATGAAATTTTTAGTTTAAAAGGTATCAATCAAGTATTTGTAAAAAAGTTAAGACAGTTTATCAAAATGAGTATTTATTTTTGATAAAACGTTGACCGTATAATATATAATATTAATACATTCATAAGTCTTTGGTTCTTACTGCTAGACATTCACACATTAATTTATTACTAATTTCTATAGTTATAATTAACAATAATGATTTTATTATTAATTTTATCATTTTGAAGTGTCTTTACGAATAGATACTTCAAATACAAAAGTAATTATATAGTTAGTTTTTATTAAAATTTCAAGTAACGACTAAATATTACTATTTATTTATATATAACTAACAAAAAATATTTACATTTCATTTTTTTCGAAAAAATTAATACAGTCTTTGAAAATTTTGATCGGCTGTAGTTGTCTCTACATAATTATAATAAGGCATTTGATAAGTTGGTTGAGTAACGTAATTATGATAGCTGTAATCAGGTGGAACATGAGCAGTTCTCATCTCGGGAGTTTTGACTTCTGGTACGATATTTCTCATATCCGGAAATGGCATAACGTCACCAGTATAATTTTGGCGGTAATCCATGGACATTGCTGGTCTTTGATTTTCCACGTTGGCAATAGGATTCGTTCGATTTATATAATCGGGCTGGTAATCCGAGCTCACTTGCTGATGTTCGAGCATTTTGTATTCTTGAATTGGAGCAGTCCTGGGATAGTCGGACGCTATCGGGTTCACAGACGATTCTGGGCACGTGGAGTTATTGGCTTGCCAGTAAGATGAGTTCCAAGTGTCCTGGCTGCTTGGCTTCCCGTCTTTAATAAGAACAGGGACCGGTATTTTCTTTAATGACTGGTTCTTTTCTGTGAGGCCTTTTTCAGCTTCTTCAATATGAGCGCGTTTGTTTTTGTAGCGACGATTTTGAAACCAAATTTTTACCTGAGTACTAGATAGCTTAAGTGACTGAGCCAATACTTCTCGCTCCGAGGCGCTTAGATACCGTTGCTGCTTGAATCTCCGCTCTAACTCAGATACTTGAGTCTGAAACATAAAGAAGAACGAATTAATTATATCTCTTGATTGCAAATTGTTTGCAAAACTAAAATTGTTGCACTTTTTATTTTTTTATTAGAATAGCGTTAATGTTTTAAAAAAGCTCTACATTTTTTTTTAATTTATTAGTATTAAAAAATTTCAATTCAATAATTCATTCATTCCCACTTTTACTTACTTGAGAAAATAAAACTCTAGGCTTGCGTTTAATTCTCTTATTGGACTGATTTTTTCGCAGTTCTGTTTTGCTCGATGTTACTAAATTTCCTAATGCAGAACAATTTTTATGTAAATAAATGATATACGGATAAAAAATTTTTTAATGAAATATAAGAATAATATAAAAGCAGATTTTGTTAATCCATGATCCATACTTTACTGTATGGTAATCTATTCAATTAAAATTTAACTTTGTTTAATTTATTTCATTGAATCATTTAATTTTATACAATATTTAATTTATCACAATTTTTTTTTATTTACTTTTTTAAAATTTTTAGTTAATGAAAATCTTTATATTTATTCCAAGTGAAAAAAATTTTAAAATAATTCATTTGCGTACTTTCTTCGCTTGCTGAACTTTCTTGATAAGGTGGAGCGACTTGACTAAGTTCTTGAACATGATTCATACTTCCATAGGTAGGGAATTGATGAAGAATCGGATTTTTCGGCTTATCAGTTTCCCAGGAATTATCCAGGGTATTCGGGTATCCGTAATAATCAGTCGACATTGGCGCACTCATGTGCGATTGGGCATCGCTTGGTGCTTGATAGCAACTCATATCACCCATTTCTTGATCAGCACTGAGAATATCTCTAACACCAAAGGGGGTAGCCGCAGCCGATATTACAGGTGACAACATCCTAGCACAAACCACGTAAAATAACGACACTCCGCAATTCCGCAGTTTTTAGTTCACTTTTTGATGAAAGTCACCAGCACAATGGAAGTAGCTCATCAATGTCACTTCAAGTCAAATTTTTTATGTAAACACATGTAAAAAGTCAAGAAATAGCAGCTTAACAAAATAGTAACGTGTGGATCGACTTGTTGCACGCGTCGTAGCTCAGTATCGAATGATAGCTGCAACTGTAAGTATCAGCCGCAGCGATGTTATTTCTAGGGTGTCTTGTTCACGAATGACTTGGTATCGGAGGGTAGGCGGCAGTCGCGCGATCAGCGTTGCTTTCTCCCGCTAGTCCAGACAAGTGCCATAGGTCCACATCCCGACCCGGCTACACGAACAAGATGTACAAAACAAATCCACTTAAGGTCGAATGTGTATATGTATATATAGATGGGTACATATACATATGTCAAACGCAGAGAGAAAGCGCGTAGGAGGAGTCACAGGCTCTCAAACTTTTTATTTCTCTTATGTGTTCGGATATCAACCCAGCATAATCACTCAGCCAACACTGCGAAGGAGAAACTTTTATAAACATTGTAGTGATGGCTTCAAAACGGAATAATTATAAGTAAAATTAAAAAAGGCGATGATGAACAGGTACTCAAGTTTCCTTTTATTCATACGTAAACAAAAAAGTACGATTTATAAGTTATACTTATGAATTAAATTTATAAGTCGTGCATATTTTGTAAAATAGTTTAATAGTACATTCAAACTATTCAAAAATCATTATACCGATATTAATTTGAGTCCAGAGAATATAATTGCAAATAATAATTAATTTACAAATGCTTTCGAATATTTGCAAAAAGGAATTCACGCGACAGCCATGAGTGCAGAACTCGCTCTGGGCGGAGATTGCGCTGCTAGGCTACGCCTGTTGTGCGCAATTTAACCAATGCCAAGGCAAATTGCACGCAATTTGATTTTGTGCCAAAAAAGTCGCCTTTGTACAATCGTGCATGTTTTGAAAGAATTCAGTTTTTGGTCGCTGAAAAACTTTATCAACAATTATATTTAATAAATTTAATTAGTTGTTTAATTCCGATTGTTATACAAACGCTCAAGGAAAATGAATAATCATTTTTTATGTTTATAAAAGAAGTCTTAATCAAACAATCTCAAGGGCCATAATTTCATTTCCCAGAAATTAACATAATGTGTATTTAATTGTGTAAACAAACTTTTTGAAGAGTCATAGCTCCCGTGTAGGTAAAAATTTAATTCTAATTTATACATGTCCATGGTTGTACCGGTCAGTGTTATTACATGCCCATACAGTAATTCAAAAGTCAACTGTGAACATGTTCCAACGATTTGAAGAGTAAACGTCAAACGACATAATATGAGAGACGCAAACAAGACATTTAATTTTTCTCACCACGAAATACAAGCGAACATCTATTGCGGTTTGTACTTCTTTTCTCAGACTTAACATAATCCAGACGCCATCAACGGAATCTCAAGCCCTTGACAGGCTTCATTTTTACTCTCAATCTGTAGGCGTATGCGTGTAACATGTATACATGCATGTCGGAATTGAAATTTATCAAACCTTGATAACAATTTTCTTGCCAGTATCGCGAAAACAATTTCCATTCCGACGCAATTTTTCTTTATTGTAATATGGTATGGTCTCTTCCGAATTTTATTGATTAGGAAGTGCTGATGTATGTTGCACAGTTTCTCGAAGCAATAAATTTAAATCAATGTAATTTTAGATACTCTTGGATCAAATTACAACATCTCGCGTCTTTTACTATTCACCTAGCTTTAATCTAATTTTATTATAAATATGAGCTTGGCTATGAAAAAAAATCGCTCCTACTCTTTGTAAATATCTGTTGAGGTCGCAATACGATAACTGCTTAATTTTACTGTGGGAATAATGTAAATCTTTTAGATCCGCTCTCACGGGTGGTTGCATTACCGAACCTCCGCCTCGCTACGTTAGAGGACGTGAATCGAACTGTCGTCTCGATAATTATTAAGGGAATTAGTTGTCAAAATTACGCGCTCACCACAACATCAAGAAGTGTCCGCGCGATTAGTTCCGAGACTACAATTAAAATGTGAAAACATTTTGAATCATCCGTGTTAATAGAGCAATACAATACTGTTTAAGAGTGTACTTATGATTTCACTCACATCCGTCATCGCTTTCTGAATTTTTTGATCGAAATTTCAAGTACTCTTTTGCTCGTACTCCCGATAGTTAGTTTATTAAAAAACTAAAGGATTAAGTAACAAATATAAATATAGCAATATTAGCTCGATAAAATGAAAAGTTTAGTTAAAAAGAAAGAGTTCGAGCGGGGGTGCGCATGCTCTCATTTGCAAGCTGTACAAGTCAGCTGGGCCAAGGAAGCAAGAGAAAGTGCAATGCACTGTTCGCGCGCTCGAGGCAATGTGGTGTCCGATGGCAAAATTGCTGGCGCCTTGACTATACGATCCGTCTGCTTCTAGACTTCACTACCACTGCGCATCTCTATAAATGAATCCATTATATAAAAACTTGCTTCTATCTTACGCGCGCGCTCACTTGCTGCCACGGTTAGTTTATTTGGTCGATTTACATTGTATATCCTCTGGCTGCCTCGAGTCATTTACTTTTCCTATTTGCTTCCACTAATTTGTACTAACCACAATTTCTGGATAACGCAGGCTTCGACAATAGGTGACAATGATTAAGATAGTTATACGGTTCCGGGCACCTGCGATTTCATACTGGCACGCGACTCCACTCTAGGATTCTGCGAAAAACACTTGAAGCGAAGAGGATGTACTGCGTCGATCGGTACCTTGTTGCCAGCTCATATTGAAACTTCCTCAAAAAAAAATGCATAGATGCTGGCATCGCGACACTTTCCGTTAGGAAATGTTTCAGTACAGTACAGATGACGAAATTTTTATTTAGTTGTCCCTGCAACGCATGAATCGATTTAAATTTAAAATCGATAAAATTTTTGACATCTTTAAAAAAGTTTCATAGCAAAACCTATATTTGATAAATATCGTAAATTATTAATTGCTGGCTCCATACTTCCTTGTGACCCAGTGACGCCGGTAATAATTTAACTTTTTTTGAATTGTCCTCTTCCGGGAAAAACATATGCGTCTCCTGCTACGTTGTGCTCTGCTCTGCGCCGCTCTGCTCCTAGATATCAGTGGGCCACATTAAGTGCAAGGTATGTACAACGTATCCTATAAAAAATTTTAAAATACTTTTCCGCCTGTCATTGTAAGCATACATCATTGGGTAAAATATCGATTTATTTTTACCCTCTCGAACTATCTTGCGAAGCAGATATTTCTTTCATTTTCAGGTAGATCGTTCTAACCATGTGCTAATTAAACATAATTATCTATCCAAAAAATATTTTGATCATATTGCTAGATCGCTATATGGTTTATTAGTTTGATATTTACCACAAAACATGAACCAACATATGTCTTAAGGCTTTATTTTCACCGGTGTTTCGTGTGATGATATATATTTTTAAAAAATAATGCTTTCTTAGTTCAAAAAGTACACATTTTTCGGCAAATCAGTCAATTTTGTGATAATTTATTCATATTATTCAGTTACTAAACATATGTGTATCTATAATATGAATAAATCTCGTGCAATTTTAACATTCGATTCAGCGCGAACGAAATTTGAACAGGTCATATTAATATTGTTTTAACTTTTTTCATCGTGCACGCACGCTGAAAAATAAAATACCATTTCATTCTGCGGTACAAAGCTTATCCTTTATTGAAAAAATCAGCAAGAAAAAATTTTCATTGATGCGTTTTCGGGTGTATGGAATTTAATAGAAAATCTCTAAATTTGCATAACGCCCATATTTTTCAATTCATTATTACGAAATCTTACATACCCTAAAGGCTCCAGCACAGCCGTGATAAAGATAGGGTTTGGGACACAGAATCCAATGTTACTCTTCTTTTTGATGTGCGCGTGTGATAAAAAATGTTACAAACAATATTAACATGATTAGTTCGCATCGTGTTCGCAATGTTAAAATTTCACGAGATTTATTCAAATACCAGCACTTTATTCTCACTCGCTAACGATCGTTTGGTATTTTAGAATGGAGTTTCGGATTTTAAAAATCTCATATGCTTTTTTACTTGCATCAAATGCCAAAACTGGAAAAATTCCCTTTTTTTGAAAACCAATCACACCATTGAAAAGTGTCGGAGAAAACACTTTAGTTATAGATATTTAGTTTTAGAAAATATTCTATCGAGCAGGTTTCAAATTACATGATTCAACCCTTTGACATTTTTTCGCATACTGTTGAAATATTGATCGTTATGCCTCTCGGTTTTAAAGCTTTTTTTCATAATTAAAAACAAAAAAATTGAAATAATTCCATTCAGACGTTTTAAAAGAATGGATACTTTTTGCTAAATCATTATTCATGGCTCATAGCAACAAATTACATGTTATTCTATACATATTCAAATAATAGGTCATTAATCAGAGTTAATTACTCTCTCAGTAAATTATTCTTGATTATCTGCAATAATAATTTATTATTATTTAATTTAATGGTGTGATAAATAAAAAATGTTAAATTTTAATATCGTTTTTGGAAATAACACAAAAATAAAAGATTTTAATTATTCTACAATTTAATGCACAAACTATAAAAAACAGTCCCTAAAACCCCTGCAAATTATTAGGTGATTGAATTTAATTAGTTTTAAAATTGCATTACAAAGATGAAAAAAGTCGCTTTATTACTATAAATAAGAAAAAACTAATGTTTCAAAATTTTCAAATTTTGCTAGCACTCTTCATAATTGTAATATAATACTTATTAATTCAATCCGAAAAAAATCGTAAGTATTATTCAATAGTTTATCCCATTCAGAACTTGATCGATTGACCACATCCTTAGATATGAAGTAAATAGAATTATTATAAGTGTTGGAGTTTCAGTTCCTTAAACATAATTCAAAAAGATAGTGATGTGTTACAAAGTTTTTATAATAGATTCTTAAAACAAAAGGTCTATCTGCGTAGCGAAGAGGC